ACCCATTTCAAATGAGGTCCTTTTATTGATCGACTCGCTTTTTCGGCATTTCAATCATTTTTTCATTACAGTACTTCTGAGCTCGTGATCTGAGCTCTGAAACCTGTGTAGAAAACCTGAGTCAGGATTTGAAAAGAGCTTGAATATCTCTAAATACTTGGAATGCCGCGACGCGGCTTTGTTAACGTAAAAGCCGCTACGCGGCTTTTTATTAAAGCCTTTTCAGATCCTGACTAAGGTTTTCTACACAGGTTGTCGAGCTCAAATCAGGAGCTCAGAAGTTTTTTGAGGAAAGAATTGATTGAAAAGCCGAAAAAAGCAAGATGATCAATATAAGTACTCCGAGAAAAGAACGTTGCTGAATGATGTCAGCAGATTTTGTGAGCTAATGAGTTTAGTGATAGGAAGTTGAAAACCACGGTCGTCATAATTCTCCTCTAGCTCGAAAAGTCGTTTCCGCTGGAAACCGACGACGAATCCGATTATTGGTCTCATTCTCAAAACTTATCCATTTTGATGTGAACAGAGACGCTGAGAGCATTGATTTATTGCTTCATTGAATGATGAACTTTCGATTGTCGAAACTGTTTTCTAGTGTAATTGAGGTCGTCCCCTTAATAGCCTTCAAAACAAATACAGCTCTGATTAATTAATTGAAGTCGAAGTCATTTTTAATTGCTTTAATTACTTTTTCTTTCGAAATATTTTCTTTACTCTTCATTAAAAAACGCTTCGCAAATCAGTGTCAAAATAATTATTCAGTAAATTTTCTATTGGAAAGCAATTTTGCCATGAAGCGCAATTGAACGCATGTCGTTTTAATTGAATTCCGTAAAATAACATTATCAAATTGGCTCGATTATTTGAGCGGTGTTTGTTTTAAAACAGAGTCGACGTTGTGCCCGGTTGTGAAATCAAACACAACTGGAAGAAGATTCCCCAAAACTGGCTCCACAAAAACACTTTCTAATCGCAAATCAAAACATAAAAACATAAGACCGATAAGAACCAAGCGGGAAGAAGAAGACGGACAATACAATGTCGAAAAAATGATTAGGGAGAAAAGAGCTGCATCAAAACGGGGTGAACATTTTTCGGATTTTTGAAGCTCGCGAAATCTTTTTCTCTGATAAGAATTTCGTGAATTTTAAAATCACAATTTTTGAAGCTATAATTAATTCAGAGATCCCAATTTAGTGAAAGCGGCACGAATCGACAAAAATTTCGACAAATTTTGCGTGGGCGGCTACTTAGTTCCTGATTGGCCGGTCCGCCGAATCAAGGCTTCTGATTGGTTTAAAATTTGTCAAAATTTTTCTGTCGATTCGTGCCGCTTTCCCCAAATTTTAATTGGGAAACTCTTCTAGATAGTCAAGTTCTTTTGCAATAATTATTATAATTTTCTCTTGAAAAATGCGGAGAATACAATTAGAAGAAAGGTGCGGAGAGTGCTTTTCTTCTAAACAAGTGTGCGAAATCACGTCTAACCGTTTCGTAAAGGTTTCTGCGAAGCAACTCAGCGGGGCCGAATTAAATGCTCGTTAGGCCCGAAAGTTTACCGACCGGTCCATTTGAAGGAAGCCCTTTGTCTCTTTCTCTCCCTCATTAGGACCTCTATCTTCCTATTAGGCTTAATTTTATGACTTCTAGTAAAAAGGGGTTCTTGTTTATAGAGCCCCCAAATTATGGACTGGGAGGAGAGGGTCCCCTTAATCAATGGCAGATTTTAAGAAATCGGCTCTTAAAATTGGGGCCCCAATTTCGGGCTCCCCAATTTATCCCAATTATATTAAGGGTGTCAACATCGATTTCGACCCATAGACTATGGGCCATAGCCAATCGATATTGATACCCTTAAATAGAGACCCCATTTTAAATCTTAAAACAGGTGTGGTAGCCTCTAACTTAGGTAGAATTAGAATTTAACTCTGTCCAGCTCAGGAGCTCTCTTAGTTGGTTGAGCGGAGCATTTTCGGTGGAACCGGACATGACGTTTTCGAATTGCAACTTTGCGGCGCCGACGGCGCGTCTTCCGTTTTTTTTTTCTAATCGAGAAGCCGGATAATCCCAAACTGGCCAGATGAATTTCCTCTGAAGACTTTCAAAAGAACACAAAAGGCTCAATTACTTCAATAATCGTCATGCATTAATTCTTTTAAGTAGAACGGACTCAGAACTCTTTTTTCAAATGCGGCTACGGTTTTTTTAAAGTGAACTGAGTTGGAATTTTTTTCAGATTTTTTTTTCTATTTCAAAACTGTAATTAACACTTAGATCTTATATTTTAACTTTGGCGCTATTTCTAAATTTTCTCGCGTTTTCGTGAAAATTTGATTAGATTTCGCCAGCTTTACTTTTATTTGCGGTGCGAGGCAACGTTAAATCCTTGCTTTGAATTTTCTTAATTTTAGAAAATTAGAAAATGATAGTCTTATCCGAAAGCGTGCTATCTAAATCCAATAATGTTCAATATTCCTTCTCTGAAAAAGGTGACAGGAATCGCAATGATATCAGACATCTGCCAAAGCTCCAAAATGAAAAATTATTTATCGCTTTAGAATGAATCAAATTTCATCTTATAGAAAAACCAAATTTTGTTTCATAAACCCTAAATTTTAGCAAAGGAACCTGTGTAGAAAACCTGAGTCAGGGTCCTGAAGGATATTTAATGAAAGCCGCGTAGCGGCTTCTTTAAGAAAAAAGCCGCGAAACGGCTTCGCAATGCGGCTTTCATTAAATATCCTTCAGGACCCTGACTCAGGTTTATTACACAGGCTGCAAAGCTGAGCCCTAAGTTAGGTCTAGTCTGTTAAAATTTATGACTTCAAAGTTGCTCTTTTTTCACGATAAGCTCTCCATGATCCCCTAAAATCGCCCTTTATGGCTTCCTCCTGGCGGTCACCTCTTCGGCGATTTTGGCGTCACTGTTCGACTAGCGTTAACCAATTCGCTCGCCACTAGAAAGTCGGGAAGAGCAGGCCGCGAAATCTCCATTTTGTTTTTAGATTTGTTTTTGTTCTCGCCCTTTTGCCAGTTAAAAGTTAAAATGAAGCGACCTTTTGCTCGCTCCCGCCGAGCGCTTACTCGAGTTTCGTTTTGATTTTGTCTGATTAGAGAACCCTAATCTAATTACGCCTCTTTGAAAGAATGCGCGAAAAGGACAATCCCGTTCCCTCTTCTCGAGACTTACATAACGCAAGATCACAGATGCGCGCAAATCTCGTCCCATCCAATTTGCTAAGGCTTCGGAACCCCGAAAAATCTGAGCCAGGGTTCTGAAAGAACTAGAATAAAAGCCGCTTTGCGGTTTTTAACAGCGAAGCCGCGAAGCGGCTTTATCAAAATTCTGAACTGAATCTAATTCTTCACTATGGCGAAGCCTTAACCTAACCCTGAGTCAGGATCCCTGACTCAGGTTTTCTACAAAAATACGTAAAAATGAACTTCTGAGAATTCACCCCTAAGGCTGATGTTTTAAAACGATCAATTACCGCGGGTTAAATATTTAAGCTCTAAAAATGATGATGTTTGAGAATATCTAAAACCCTGATTAGCCAAAAGCGGAAAATAGGGTCGCGGAATTTCCCTAGCATAAACGTGGAAATCTTCAATTTCCGGAGAATGCGAAAAATGAGATTTTAGAAAATCGGTATTTTGCATCGTGAAGGATCATCACAGTGAGAATTTTTGATGAATTTGTGGCTTTAAGGTCGGATAGGGGCATTTTTCGTTATTTCATTACAGTTGGATCTGCTAAGTCATTTTTGGATCACTTGAAATAGGTTAATTTTACAAGTGTAGCACGTCAAATTTCAGAAAATGAAGCCTCCCCTAAGATTATCGTGTCCAATTGAACGACACTAAGGGGATAACTGTCGACTTTTTAGGTAACTCCCTTTTTCTAAGAAAAGAAGAGACGACACACCCTTATCGAGGCTCGACAACCTGTGAATAAAACCTGAGTCAGGGTCTTAAAAGAGTCTAACCCAATCTCTAACCCTGACAAAGCCCTGACTCAGATTTTCTTGAATTTCTTTAAAAAGTAATTTTAGTTAAATTACTTGATGGGTAATTTTTATTTCTATGAGTGATTAGATCAATTACCATGAGTCTAATTAAATGGGCTCTGTTGCTGATGGAAATTTCGAATTCCAACCGCGCTGCTTTCACAAAACCAACCGGTTGGCTGGGGACAATTTTGAATAATTTATACAATCGGCAATTTTACGCTTTTCTCAACACTTGATAGAAGTCGCCAAGGCTGACTAGGCCGGGGCAGTGTACTAACAACATGCATACAGTAAAGTAATGTTGCATAAGACTGTTTAGAGCGAGTAAGCTTGGGGGAAAAGGATATTTATAGCGCTTAAAAGTCGTGTTATGAATCAGCGCTCCAAGCTCTCCGGATTATTTTTACATTTGATTTATCCGCGACTAATTCGGTAGGGCTTTTTGCTCGTCATCAATTTTCTCGCAGCCAAAAAAGAGGGTTGAACAATAAGGCAATTTCAAACGGGCAAAAACGTTGATAAAATCCCTGGAGCGGAAGTAATGAGCCTGACTAACAGGCTCAATCGGAAGAGACGACATTTGGCCAAGAATCGGATCGGCCTTTCAGCTTTCAGTCCAAAAAGAAGATCACTTCAATCTCGCTTCCACCGGAAATATCTCCAATTATCCACCCTTTCTGATTGCTCTAGTTTCCCTTTGCCGTGTCTTCCAAAATCGTATTTCAAGACTCAAAAGTTCGTCTAAAAAATAAAAGAAAAAAGTCGGCCCAAACAACTCCGAAACAACAAATAATTAATTGAAATGAGCATTATCAAAAACGTGACACAAAATTCGGGCGCTTTAAATTTCCTAGGAGAGTTTACAAAAAATCTTGAGATAGTCACCGCTGTTTGCCAATTCGGCCGTTAGACTCATCTGTTGATAAGTAAGGGAGGAGTCGAGTGATATGTAACTGTTCACGTGTTCATCCCTTTTTTGCTATTTATTTGTTACACAAGAAAAATTCGCAATATATTTCTCGCGGTGGCGTTTTTGTTGCAAATTGGACATCGTTGCTGACTCCTGAGAGCTTCTGCAATGCAAGTTTTTCCAAACACGTGCCCACACGTGGACAGGGTCGCAGAGTAGTGCTCCTTATCATTGTAATCACTGAAGAAAAATTAACCAACGCAGCTCACCATGAAAACGGAGATTTGCTAATAGAACGTTTTGTTGATTCAACTTACTCGAAGCAGATTTGGCACAGAAGCTTTTCTTCGATTGCCTCTAGTCTTTGCAGTTTTTCTAGTAATTCGTGAACATCTTCATTTGCACCATGTTCGTTTCTACAGTCAAGATCAAATTCTAATTTGTTGATTCTTTTTTTCAGAATTTTGATTGATTCGTCACGATTTCTTATAGTTTTCAAATGAATATTGTCTTCTTTTTGCGCTTGATTTCTGAATACAGCAAGCGCACGACTTGCATCAAATAAACGCTTCTCGCAATCCGTAAATGCCCGATTTTCTTCTCTCAGAAGTTTTTGAAGTTCAGTTATTCTTTTTTCACTTTGTTGAGATTGTCTCTTCTGTCCTTCTGTAAGATCTTTGAGGATATGTTCACATGATAAAATTCTCTTATCCTTTTCAGCATTTTCACGGGCATAAATCTCCATTCTTCTTTGTTTGTTGTTAACTTCTTTTTCTAGTTCTTCGATTCTCTCCCCTTGCTTCTCCACTAAATCTTTGAATTTCTTGCTTTCGTCGTTTCCTATAGCAGAATCTATCTGTCTTTGTTGATTCGCGATTGTAGCTTGCAAGGCTTGTATTGTCAAAAGATGATCTTTTTTCTCTTTTTCCAGTTGATTAATTCGATTATTGCTAGGGTGATCGGGTTTAGTTTTTCTACGCATTCCGTTTCTTTGTCGCATCATTTCGAGTGCATCGTTTTTATCTTTGCATATTTCTTGATTTTGCTTAATTAAATCATGATAAAGTTGTTGTAAATTTTTGCAGGTTTCTCGCTCGCATGGAGCCCGAGGAGTTAGAGAAATCGGCGGAAGAACATCTGGACGAGTTTGTCCGGTCGTTGGTCTTTCTATTTTCTCCTTGTATCTTTTATCCAGGGATTTTCGGAGAACTTCAAGACGATCCATTGTCGGCCCAAATCGTCCGATACAAACGTGATTTTCAATTCCTTGATTTGTATTTTCAAGTTTCATTTTCAAATTGACAATCGTATTGTTCATTGCCCATTTATTCACATACTCGTATTCTTCATCATTTTGCGTTCTCGCGTCTTCAGCAATCTGCCACAAGGTCTGGCAGTATTCAAAAGTCTGCTCGACGCTCAAATTTGTTCTGACGCTCTTGGAGGCGATTTTGACGAGTTTTCGGACCCCTTCCTCGGGTTTTGCGATGTACAAAGGCTTGCAGATCATGGCTTTCAGAATCTCTAAAATACGACTGGAACATTGAGTTTTTCCTAAGGAAGGAACGTGGCAAATAGAAACTGCTTTGTTTGGAACCCGAGATACGGGTGCTAGGGTCGATAAGCTTCATCAAACAATGCAGAGTTTACACTGTCAAATTGGCAGTACTTTTTACTGCGTTTCTTATCTTAGAAATCATTTCAGAGAAAATAAAATTTTGGGGAAGAACTTGAACTAAAATTTAAAATAAAATTTATGCAGAACTCGAATTCGATTGATCATTTTAACCCGAAGCGTCATTTTTATGAAAAAAAATTCTGCATGATCGAATTAGTGTTTTGAAGCCAGTTATTTTTATTGAATTGCGAGAAATGTTCCACAATGTGTTAAACTCTTCTCTTCACATTTTCGCTTCCACTTTGAGAAAATTCAAGACTCTCTCTTTTCGACATAAGTTTAGAACATAGCCAAACATTTTTTCCAAAAAGAAGATTTACTGTTTCTCTCGGGAATAAAACTGTCGTGGAAACACTCAATGCAACTGGCGAGTTTTGGAAAATTCAATCGACGGAGAATATTAAAATGAATCCAAGAATGTGTCCCTGGAATCAGAATTCTTCAGGCTTGTGCACACGTTTTCATAATAAAATTGGGGTCCCATTTCAACGGGAAAAGATTCTGAGGGGTGTCCATTTTAACGGATTTCATTTTTCTGAAGGGGGTCACTTTTTAACGCATTCTTTAATATCTCTGAAATTTTTTGTGAGAAATTTTAAACCCGTTAAAATGGAGACCCCCAATAAGTGTTGGGTCTTCCTAAGGGTACCCTCTATTTTATTGGGGTGGTGTCTTGAACCGACAAAAAAATTTCGACAAATTTTGCGTGGGCGTCTACTCGGCTTCTGATTTGCCGGTTTGCTGAATCCGGGCTTCTGATTGGTTGAAAATTTCAACGCAATATTTATCAAAATTTTTTTTGTCGGTTCCAGACACAATCCCATCTTATTAATCTCTTTTTTACATCCCTCAGACAGAGAGGCCTCTCAGCGTCTTAAAATAATAGATAATCCTAACATTCCTCTGTAAGTACCAAAATTTAACCCCTTCAATTGTCAAAAATGCTTGTGGTACTTTCGATGCCGTAACCCAGCATTTCTCTTCCTTTGCAGTAAAATGCCCCGAATTCCAACACCGAAAGTTCATCCGAAAATTTCAGCTGTTTGATTATTTCATTTTGGGAAAATTTTGGCAATTGTAATTTTTTGTAACAAAACACAAGAAAAATGATTGTGAACAACGTGGGGGCAAATTGACGGTACCCACTTTTCTAGGGTGGGGAAAACCACGTGATGATCTTTATTTAGCGCTCTGAAAAGCAAATTTATGGTTATTCCCCTCCAAATTGGTTGGAACGGTCCGATTTCTCTCTTTCAAAATAGTCTTTTAGCTTATCTTAAAAATTATTTCAAACAAAAAAGGAGTAAGTATCCGAAGAATTTTAGCTGATTGATTTGATAATCTTTGAACAACAAAAAAATATCCAATGCAACGTGACTTCCGCAGGAGTCAGCTGATCCGATACCCACGAAAAATGCAAATTGTATTTCAGCCCGACAAAATCTGTCAGCAAAAACTGGGACGGGCCAGAAAGATTTTCGCAAAAAGGACAAAAGAAAAAAATAAGGGGATCCCTTCTTTAACGGGCAAATAAATGGAAGTGCATTTTTGAAAGACCCATAAGATGGCGCTATTTGGCCTACCGGCCAATGAAAATTCAGATCCTTAAAATCACTTTGTTTTCTTTGTTCTGCCCCACAATCAAAGTTATCAAATAAATTAATTAAAAAAAATATATATGATTTCGAAAGATTAGATCATTATTCAAAGTAGATCAAGCCGAGTTGCTGCGGGATCAACCCGAAGGCGGGTAGAATTTTTTCGTAAAATCGTGACAAGCAGCTCCTTTTTCTCGTGAGATAAGTGAACGGGCAGGAATGTCCGGCTACTTAGTACTTTTTCTCTTTTGGTAAACACACCAAGCAGGGCTTCGTAGAAGATACAGCGCCCTATTTATCTGATCACATAATCAGCCCCCAGTTTCGCTATAAATAGAAATGAACAGCAACTTAACTTGAATTTAAAACGGACTATAGAATTAGATTTTAGAATTAATCGCAGGCGAGATTAGATGATGTGAAATCCGGTTAATTGGTTTTAGTTCGACTCGACTCAGATTCGCTAAATCCTGCTTCCCGCCAATCTAACACTACCCAAACGGATTTGACGACGAAAAAGGGTTGATTTCGAACACTATTATTGCTCACTTTTTTGGCGGAATGGTAATTCTTTAAGAATCACGGTTAAACTAGCTGGCGGGTCAAGGAAGACAGGCAACTTCCGAGAATGGGCGAAACACGTGAGGCTAATCCAACGAAGGTCACGTGATTATTCCCGCTTTGATTTTCGTTGAACCTCGCAGCTGCGGCCGACGATTATTCTCGTCATTTTCGACATTTTCCTCCACGTCGCTCAAGGACCTTTCCAGTGCATTTTTTCAACATTTCAAAATTGCGCCCATCTAATTCAAGTTCAAAGCCTGTTTACAGTAGTTCTAAAGAACGGAGAGGGAAGCGCTGTTCTCCATCTAAAGCATCCCGGATGCAACGCGAAAGATTTTTCTGCTTGGCGCAGTTTTATAATTTCTGATATTTCAAGTCGCCTTGAGCCCCAACTGTGGCCGGAAGCACGGGCAATTAAACCACCGTTCGAAAATATTTCTTCTCACAATTCTTGACTCGCTTCTTCTTGTTTTCAAAAGACTCTTGCCGAGCAGCATCAGCGAGCCGTCTATGGAACTTATCTCAAAGGACTTTATCTCAAAGACGAACTGTCTTCGCGGAGTTTTTTCAGAAAAGAAAGTCTATCCATAATCAACTGCAATTATCTCATCATAATTTAGGATAAATCATCATCAAAAGCGAATATAAGATAGCCTTTGTTACATAGCTTTTTATTTCATTGGAAAAGAACAGTTGCTTTAAAGCGTGGGGATGGAAACTTCAGTTTGTATTTCACATGTGGAAGACTCTCCTCATTGTCGCACACACTCTCAATATGTTGAATATTTTTAAGATCATTCCCATCTTTTTCTTCAAAAATCGCAGTGAAGCGTCGACCAATCCACTGATGTTTATTTCTTCTTGCAATAGTTAATCGGATTTCTCTCTTTGGAAAAACTGACAACTCAAATATCCAATTTTCTTCGCATAAACGAATAGGTTTTCCAAGATTGAGCTGAATTGAAGAAATACTATTTTATTGTGATTCTGTTATATTACCTCTACAACAAGTCGACTAGCATCAGGAGCCAAAATTTTAAGTTCTTCACGAATTTGCGACTCAAAATCGAAGTTATAATCAAGTCCCGTCGTTGGGCTTTCTGATTGTTCTTCTTCATCCTGGATGAAGGATCCTGGACGGCGAAAGGATAAAAGTCTAGAAAACCCGGTACTCAACACGGCAGTAATAGGGTTTATTGGAGTGTTCCGTCGACTGAGTTGTTGACGATACGCCGGCCTTCTATGCATCATTTGTAGGTCCATAATTTTAGCTTCAAGCATTCTTGTTCTTGAGAAGACATCTTTCTGTAACTCTTCGAGAGAACGAGTTATTTCGTCCATTTCTTTTTGTATTTGCAACATCGAGGCTTCTCGGTTTTCGATAGTGTGCTCAAGTTTTTCAATTTTTTCGCGAAGTCGACGATTTTCGATTTCAAGAATTTTATAATTTTCTTTCATCCGGTGACGATCTCGATCAGCATTGCTTATTTTGATCCACATAGGGGTTAATTTTTCTTGAAGTTTTTGCTCAATCATAGCTGATATATCCGCATTCATTACTGCTTAAATTTTAAAAGGTTTTTACATTGCGTAGTTTTACATAATATATCGCCAATTTATGCTTCTCACATAAAATCACTGGAAGAGTTTCACATTTAATACCTTGATTGATAGCAGGAGGAGGCACAAAATCTCTCGGAGTTGTATCTGTGACGTCACTATAAACGAGTGAGGGTTGATCACTTTCATCTGATGTTTGGGACGACATTTTAAGACCTTTGAAAATACAGGCGAAAACTTGCGTGAGATCAAACAAAGGCGCACTGGAGGATATTCGCCTTTGGTATTTGTTTTGAATTAACTAAAAAATATGATGCGCGAAGAGTCATTTCGTTTATAGGTAGGGGGTGCACAGTGGGAAAATCGAATTTTTTATCATCCTCTTAAAGGGATGAATAATATATCAAAAGAAAGCCCATGATCCACTGATCATTTTAACATGTGACTTGGGGTCATAAAAGGTCACCTGAGGTCACATGAGGTCAAAATCTGATTTTTCTTTATGTCGACGTAACTAGGGTTTCTTTGCATGATTTTGATTGCTGATGATCACTTATCATAATATTTATCATATAACACTCATCCGGACCCATCCTGAGCCATCAGAGCAAAAATGAAAAAAAATGAGAAAACTTAAATTTCACTGTAAGAATTTGCTAGATGAAACTCGTGAATATAAAATCTCGACAAAATGATAACCATAAAACAATTAGAGTTTTGAGCAATAAACATTTAATAATATTTACATTCAATTAATAGGCAATTAATTTTACGATTTTGAACCTTTGCGTAAAATCCGTCAGAACAACGGTTTATCCAACAATATCTGTATCTGATTATACAAAAGCGTAGATGTGTTATGATCTATATTTATGCACTTCGTTTATCTGATGAGTCGAGCTGAAACCAAATTATCACATCTAATCAATCGAGTAATTTGCCCCAGCGACGTAAGAAACTGTTTTGGGGTGCGTTGGCTAATTGTAACAATTTAACAAAACATAACTCAATCAGACCAAACCGCTTGCGAGACGCCGGATTTTCATTTACGGTTACACCAATAGTGATCAAACAATTGCGACTCCAACACACTCATTTCTTGTTTCCCAA